TCTGCAGCCTGTGAATGCGGAGCTTTAAAAAAAAAATAAAGCTGCACACTCACCAGCTTTGGCAGCAGCGACTGGGGCCCCTGAGGGCTTGTGGTAGAGCCCCCCCACAAGCAGCGCAGGAGCAGTGGGTATTCCCCCCACCCCCACCTGGCATCCGCATGGCAGCTGCACTATCACACAGGGACTGGGGAGCTTAGCCAACTCCACCTATGATTCTCCAGCTCTCTGATCATTCCCCCAGCTCTTCCTGGGGGGCACAGCCCCCAGATCTGCCTGTGGGGTTTCAGCAGGCTGTTACTGCTGTCTGTGTAAATAGCCCAGAGCCACTGCCATCCCCAGCTGGCAGTGACAGCCTGCTATCATCCAGCATCAGCCGGGGGCCCACCCCCTGGGAAGAGCTGGGGGAAAGATCAGAGAGGTGGGGAATCGAACCGGGAGCTAGATGTCAATATCAGAGGAGTCCTTCCCCCTCCCTCTCCTTAGTTTCTGTTAAGCAGCAAGCAAGCCAGCTTTGAAACTTTTGAAATGTTTCGAGTGCCCTCATTTTGTTTCAAAGCTGCTTTGAAGCCTTTCATTGCATTTCAATTTCGCTATTTCGAGCTCAAAACGAGTCAAAAGAGCTTCAAAACGAAACACCTATCAAAATTTCGCAAAGCCCTAATGTGTTCTGCATTTGGACTACTTCAGTGGTGCTCAATCTTTTCCCCCCGCTAGGCCATATAGATGATGTCCTCTCTGCTCATGGGCCAAATCTGGCTGGCATAGAGGGATCCAATCTGGCTGCGCATGGCAGGGTGGTAAGTGGGGGCTGCCAGGCCCCAATCTATTTGTGTTGGAGGAAGGGGGCATGGCTTGAGCCTGATCCAGCCATGTGAGGGAGGGGGCATGGTCTGCCCAGTCTAGCCACATGGGGGGAGAGCATGTGGCACAGCCCTGATCTGGCCATATGGGGGAGGGGGAGTGGCTCTACTCCAATCCGGCTGCACATGGCTTGGGAATTTGGCAGTGGGAGAGGTGGCAGTATTAATTGCTACTACTCTCCTACCACCAAATTTCCTCACTTGCAGGGCATCCCACAGGCTGGATGTCATGGTTCTGTAGGCCTAATTTGGCTTGTGGGTCATGGGTTGAGCAGCTTTGAACTAATTCATTCAAAGAGTTGAAGCAGAAAATATGAGTTGAAAAAGTAGGGCAGTCCCTGGATATGGACAAACATGCTTTTTATCTGCTTTAAAAGAGGAAGGAGAAGATGGTGCTTAGAGAATGCAGCAGCTGTTAAAATCTAATTTATGTATACCTTATTGTGTATCAATCCTGCCTCCTGACAGCTTATATTTGTATCCTTTGATATCACTACATTTTTACATCTGTCTGTACCTTAAGCAGCCTGCACAGGGAAAACTGAAGTTAGAAGCTAAAAGGCCCGGAATGTCTAGATGTCATTTTGGCATTATGCAATGGAGGTTATACATTTTGGAACATCAATGTACCTTGAAAAAACAGGGTGTGAGCAAAGCACACAATGTGCAGGAGCATCCTGTGGATTTCAAACCCTCATTTAATTGTTAATTTGTCTTTTGGCAAATATTTTGACATTCAGTTAACCAGGCAGCCCCTCTGCATATCCAGAAACAGATGAAATAATATTAATGAAGCATTGGCATAGGTAAAATATCCTCTTAAGAAGGTAAGCTGAAAGTAGACCACCTCACTAATGCAGCCAGAACTGGTGCTGAGAACTATCTGGTTTAAAGTATTTACAAGACCGACACTAAAGCAAGCATGTAGTATAAAACCAGGCCAGAAAGGAGATGAAGACAGAGGTCATTAGAAGGCAGCATGTTGGGAATCAGGATAGAATACTGTGAGATAATGTTATTTTTCCTTTTGGCTGTTATGCATTCTCCAGTTCCTAGAAATTAAACATAGAAAACAAAAGGGCAAATGCAAAAAGGTTTGAAAAATCTGAAGTGTAGCAACCCCAGAAGTGATTCGTCAGTGTGTTTGTCTTTCTTTAACCATACAGGAAGACTCAATTCAGGATCATTGCAGAGTTAAAGCAGTAAAATGAAAATTATTTCTTCTATTTAGTCAAAATGCATCTCCCTAATGAACTGTTAACACCTCCTGCATGTGCTTTGACAAAGGGTCTCTGGCCATACCAGTAGTGAATAAAATAGAGCCCAGAACCATGCAAGACATTCCATGCAGAGCTGCTGAAGTCCCAAACTGTACTCACATTAAAGATGCTTTAAAATCAGCCTCAAATACATTGTCATCCTTCTCATTGGCCTGTAACACCAGGGGGCTGCCAGGCTTGAAACCTCTACAGATCCAGCCAATAAAATGTAACAAAAAACAAGCATGAATGAGATGTCAGATGAAACAATGGAATGGGGATAAATCCAATGGGCACTCAGGATTATGAGCATCTATTATGCTGAATGTGAGAAGATGCAGTCTATGATATGAGAGTATCCTCTATTCTGAAGAAGAGATCTTTTGAATAGATACTCAACATTAGGTCCTATAGGTAGGAAGCTTCCTACAGGATGAGTGGACTCTTAGGCTAGGGACAGACATTACACATAAATTGGTTTAAGTGATCAGAAACTGGTTGAAACCTGTAACAGAACAGATATTCAGGGCACATAAACCAGTCTGAAAATGGCTGAAACCAGTCTGAGATAAACCTGGTTGAATGTAGTATCAGACGTAACTGATTTGGCTCAAACCGATTTATGCAATGTCTGTCTCAGACTCCTTGCTGGTTTAAGATAAACCAGACTCCCCCAGCAATGAGGATGCTCTCTGGGCTGCGCTGGGCAGGGCTCTCTGCTCCACAGCACAGCTGACCCCTTCCCTCTGTTCCCCCTGCCTGGCTTCCCCCTGCCCTACCCCCACCCCTCGCTGCTTAAGGAGGAAATCCCCTCCTCACCCCCTCCCATATCCCACAGCATGGACCCCAGCCTCATGGACCCCAGGCATGCTAGCTTGTGCAGAAGTGTGTATGTCTCTAATTTCACTGGAACAGGCAGACAGAACAGTGACTGCTTAGGGTTGTTTGGAGCTAATCAACAGGTCAGCTGGTAAAGGGTTTAAGAAGAGTTTGAAGTAATGGAGAGAGGCTATTGTTTTTCTGATCCGGTGATAAACATTGTTATCAGGCCCCTGCTGGCTTGCTTGCCTGTCAGTTTGCTGCAGACAGTATAAAAAACCAGGGAGGGAGATTGAAAAGCCCAGTATCATCAACAGATGCATGCACTTCCCACCCCCTCCTCCCCTGGCCTCAGAGTGCTAGCATGGGGGTGGGGTCTGGCAATACTCCCACCCCTTGAGCAGCGAGTGGGGAAAAGTCTGGGATGGTGCAAGCAGACCTCCCTAATCAGAATGTCCTGCCAGGGCCTGACCATGCTACCCACCCTCAGCTCAGCACTGTGCAAGAGAAGGAAGGGCTGCTCTAGCGTCCCTTGGCTTCTAGCCAGAGCCGCTGCAGGCATGTGCCTGAATTTCCTAAGTCCAGAGAGAATTTCTGTCCGGTTACAAACTGGTTCAGCCTAGCCAGGTTAGACTAACCTGCAAAGCTTGAATCAATTCAGGCTCAGGCTTTGTGAATGTGTGTCCCTAGCCTTAAAGCTTCAAGACCATCTATTGTGGTTTTGATCAGAAAAACTTAAAATTCCACAAGCAAGAAGGTGAATTTTTTTGGATGTGTGCATTCATTTGCATGCTTCATGAAACAACTTGCGCCTCATTTTCAGAGGTGCTGAGAGCGAGATACATGGTTCCTCCCCCGTCCCTGAAAATGCCTTGTCCAAACCAAATAGAATGGTTTAACAAAGGAAATTCATACACCCATAGGCTTTCATTTTTATCTCAGTAGCAAGAAATAGTGCAGAGCAGAGACATAACTAGCAGTGTTCACACATCCTGGGCAAAACCCTGTCAGAGTGAAGTGGGTGGAGGGCACCAGGCCCCCGTTTTACCTGCTGTTGGGAATCAAAGTCCACGGCTGTTGCTGCTGTGGCACAGTCTGCCTGTCCTCACTGCTGTTGCTACAGCAGGACTGCAGTAACGCTAAACCCAGACGTTGCTACTGTTGCCGTAGAACATTCTCTCCGTAAGGCCACCATTCTGGCACCCCGCCTGGTTTGGCACCCAGTTTGTGTCCCGCTTACCCACCCTAGGGTAACACTATTGGTGCAGAACATTTTCTAGGCAGGACTGACCAGTTAGCTTTGACTGACTCTGTGCCACCAACCCCTTCCCCAGATGGCCGTTATTTCACTTTTATTAATTATTAAATGTAATATCAGGTGCATTGCTTTCAATTGTTCATCCTTGAAAGAAAATATTCATTTTAGAATGTAGCTTGGAAAAAGAAAATGTCACAGCAAAACTCATTCCAAAACACACACCAAAAAATGTTTGCACCAACACAACAAAAGAAATCTTGAAAGTTACAATTTCCCTGCTCATAGAGTTGGAATCTTCTACTAAATGGATATCTATATATAGGCTGACAAGTCTGTCCATGTATTACAGTAGACAAAAAAATCTATAAAAAAGAGTTCTACCCTCTGAAGTTTCTTTCTGATGCTGTTTGTATCTATTTCTTGGGGAAAATGATGATAAAGAGCTTGAGAATGTATTCATTTTATAGATTTCTTTGAAAGTTTATGTTTTTCTGAAGATTAATAAAATATGGCACTGACAGGCACGTATTCCTTGCTTGAATTCACAGGAAGGATATGCATATAACTGTAAGGATGGAACAAATGCACCTAGTATTCTACAGAGCTGTCTTTTAAATCGCCAGTAGTTTTTTGCTTTTCAGCTCAACAGGCATTTCATCAAGAGAAAGTCAGAAACAGAAAAAAAAGAACAGAGGAAACACAATATAACTAAGAAATATAGCATGATCATAGTCAATAATGTTAAATGAATGTAATGGAAAGGTGCAATAAGAATTGAAAAACCTTCCTGCCTAAGCCACTTACTTCTCACTAAGATCTTCAATGTGCTGACCGTGGCCTAACATGAAGTTTGGACTCATCTGGCTGCAGGGACTTGCAGGAGCAGATAAAGTGCTCTTGACATTTTGGACTGAATGTCTCCGGCTTCTTCTCCGTTCTAACCCCCTTCGTTCACTAGAGCCAAGACTAGCTCTTCTTCTGTCCCTGCGGCCACTGGGTGGGGGTTCAGCATTCTCATCTCCATCCTCATGCCTCAGCGTCATCTGAAAGGAGCAAGGAGTGAGGCTTTCCACATGTCTTTTTACATTTCATATGTTCACATGTTTAAAATACTCTTGCATTTTAAAAATTAGTCTGCAGCCATATCTCATCCCTAACCATCATCACTCATCACTCCAAGTATGACTCGTTTCTTTTGGCTACGAAAAGTTGATGACAGGATCATATACATGCATAATATTCCTCTTACAATCACTGTTCCAACAACTGTTCCTCTTTCATTGCTAAATACTTGTCTAGGTGATAATATTGTCATTATATATAGAGCCCTCTCATCTAGACAAGGGTTTTGCAAAAGTTTCATCTGGGGTTTCCAAAGGAGCCTAAAGGAATTAGATGCTTAACTCCCAATATTTCAATAAGACTTGGGAACCTAATCCTTTGAAAATCCTTGCGTGAAATTGTGGCCTTACAGAAATAAATGACAAAATTCATATTGACTTCTACAGAGTCAAGATTAAACCCTCAGTCTCTAGACATTAATGTTCACATCACCAACAAAGTCAAGCAGGTATTATCATCATCTTCCATCTATAATATGAGTCTTAGGGAACCCGTTTTATAGACGGTAACATTGAACCTCAAAGTAATTGATCAGAAGTCCAATAAGAAATTTGTAAGAGAACTGAGAACAAAACCCACATCTCTTCACAGTCAGTCATACCATTTGATTTTTCCTGCTCTGGCACATAGATATATAAAGGGCATATTAGAGAAGTTACATACCATGTACTACTTCTGATCTTTACTAATGCTGCTACAAAAGGAACACACTTAGGGCATTTTTACACGTGATCCGGGAGGCATGGGGGGCACTTTAATTAGGAAGCCACACTAATTAAAGCACCCGAGCATCACATGTATCAGTGTCCCCACGCTGAAAAATGGTGGTGGGGCACTTTGAATAAAAGCTTATCGAATGAACTTTAGTTCAAAATACC